AACAAGCACAACCTAGCGTGAAATCGATCTAAAACACGAGAAACCACATCTCAAACGGTGTAAGAACAGGGGTAAAAACATGTGTAATTAACGGTCTATCAAACTCCCCCACACTTAACCGTTTGCTTGTCCCCAAGAAAACCTAACTCAAACCAATGTAGCTCTCCAGACCTCTATAGCAACAAACAACCCAGATCGTAGGTAGAGGACTTCCTAGATCATTTAGCAACTTACGAGGTCAACCAACGCACAAGTCATCTCATAGCTTCTTCGGCGAGAGCACTAGTATCGAGTCGGCATCATGGCAAATAGTGAACAGAGGACAAATGAATTGTGGATGAAGAGATTCTCAAAAACAAAAGATCATGGACTCACATTTTTCAAGGTGCTCTCTTTTTTTTTTCTTCTTGAAGATGGTTGGAATCCCTTTTCTTTCTGTTTTGCTTGTTTTCTGTTATTTTTTTCTTTTCATTTTTTTTCCAAGGGTCCCAACCTGCTCTTACCGGCCATGCCAGGAGCGGATGTCTCGAGCCTCATGCGGGGGAAAGACATGTAAGGGGGCTGGAGGTAGTAGGTGGAAATTGGGAACGGATTCCCGTCTCCCCTTACACACTTTCGCCCTATTCGCACGGGAGACATTTATTTTGAAGCACATTTTCGAGCACCTGTTATTTTCAAAACATGACACAAGAGTCCATGACAGGCAGAGAATCCACAACACCACACAATTCAAGGGTCCTAAGATCACTAATTCACTCAATCAACCAACACAATATGAAGAAGAAATGAGACTTCTTAAATGCATCAACATCCTCCATAGTGCTACACTACCTCCCTAGGTTGCATATCACTACAAAGACTGTCAATTCAAAGCATACTGAGCAGGCAATTGCAAGGAACACGTACTTGGAGCCCTCAAATTTAAAAATTTGGACAGTGGACTAGGCTCCAAGCACACAAACAGCCAAACATTCACCCGCATACATAATCGAACATCCCCCCACACTTAAGCACGACATTGTCCTCAATGGAGGAAAGATAAGGAGGGTAGAACGAAGTTACCAGATCAAGGGTGAATGATGATGAACGGGTCAGGCGGTGCCATCCAGAAAGAGAGAGTAATCAGAACACAAACACCACACAAAATCTCACAAAGGTTGAGTTATTGACTCTAAAATCAAATAGCAAAACTAAATCAACCGAGGAGAAATAGAGAAAGAAATGCAAACCGACTGGTTGGGTTGCCTCCCAACAAGCGCTTCTTTCACGTCGTGAGCCGGACGATGGCTCCTAAGTTTTGGTCCATGCTAGAACCTCCTTGAAGTTGAGGTTCTCGTCGATGAGGTGGAGTCTCAAGTCATGAGCATGTGGTGTGGCAGGTGATGAAGGCTCATGTACTTGATGCAGATGAAGTCTCCACCCTCGAGACCTCTCCTTCTCTTCTCTCATCTCATTGCCCCAAACCAGATATGACAGCATCGATTGGCCACCATCGCGTCCACCAAGAGGGACCGATGTCGAGGTGGGCTTGGTCTGGCAAAGAGACATTGCAAATGGTTCCTTGCTAAGCAGTTCCTCGAAGTTTGGTGGAGATATCACATGTAACTCATGGCCGGTGCAGGCCTCTTCCACCTTAACTCCGTCCTCAGCCTGGACGCCAATTGCTTCTTCAACCCCCCTTTCTTCTTCATGTGGTATCACCCCTGGGAAATGATCAAGAACTCCTCCTGCTTCACTTTCGTCATCCTCCACAACTTCTTTCTGCACCCTTTGTTGCTCTTCTTCTTCTAGCACGGATTGGAGAGCAAGTTGCCAAGCAATTTCTTTCATGAGATCTTCTTGCAACTCCTCACTCATGCCCGCCTCTTCAAAGCGCAGTTTGGGGTGTGGGAAGGTGTGGTCGGCTACGACAGGACACTCCTGATCATGATCATCACGGGCGCTCTCCGTGACAACTTCAGTGTGCTCCACAATGTCCTTGTAGCCTTCTTCTTCCTCCTCCTCTTCTTGTATGGTAGCAGAAGGGTGATCTGGAGCAGGCTGTGCCCAAGATCGCTCAAGATCATCGACGCTCTTCTTAAGGCTCAGGAGGATTTCCTCTGTTTCACGATAGGCCTGGACACAATGATCCATCCTGGAGCATGTTCTATCACAGTCTCGAGCAAACTGCTCCATGAGAAGTCTCAATTCATAGTGTGGATCTGGCTGTGGAGTGTAGCATGGCTCTGCAGAATGGCCCGTGAAGGCCGCCATGGGTAACTCCAGCTCCAATGGCCCCTCTGGTTGTGGGAAAAATTCTTCTTGGTAATGAGGTTGTTCTTGATATGCCCAGGGATCCGGTTGTTCTCCGTAGTAAGGGGGTTGGTACTGGAACCCGAATCCATGGTCTTCTCTTCCTTGATTGCTGCAGGGAGTCTCGGGGTAATACCACTCAGGTGGTGGTGGATACCTCCAATGATTGGAGAAGCCATTAGGATCCATGATTCAGATCTGCACCAACAAAAACAAAAACACCCAAGTGAAAAGCAAGGGTGGAAAAGAAAAGAAAAACGCTAAAGTAACAAACTTCTGCCTTTCCTAATACTCTAGAAAGTCCCCGGCAACGGCGCCAAAAACTTGATGCTCTAAAACACAACACCTAACAAAGGCCAAGTGTAACCAATGAAAGGGACTGCAGTATAGTGGCTCAAGTGATAAATATCGAATCCACGGGTCTCTAGAGTTACTATTACTCAGCTTCAGTTTATTATTTAGCAAATCAGATTAAGATGAAAGAACTAAAACTACTCTAGCAAACTACAGTTAAAGTTAATCTAATTACAGGTTGGGAACTCACTTAGGTATGATTCCCCCTAGCCACTAGCCAGATTAATGATTGATGATCTCTAACCTGTTTCACTTTCATTCACAATGCGGAGAATCCTTGACTAGACCTTGAGTCTCGACTAAAGGAACAAGGCCCTCTTGAGTTAATTGCCTAGAGGGACGTATCCTTCTCTAGAACAACTGATCAAGGCGTTCTGAACTAGACTCCCTCTATCGAAAGAGATTCTCAATCGATACAAAGCAGTGAATCAACCCTCGACTAAAGCAATCGATCCACTACTATTAATCTATGGTGCTCTATTGACCTAATCAGGTATTCCCTCTCATAGGATCAAAGCAGAATCAATAATCTCGACTAAAGCAGAATTGAATCATGAAAACATGCATAGATTGAATATGAACTCAAGATTATCAAGTCAGAGTACTCATACAATCATCCAATCAAACAAACATAGCTAGGATTCCTCAAAACCTAAGTGAAGGGAAGTTACTCCATAGAGAAGAGAGAGACTGCAGTAAGAATCTTCAGATGATCAGTCTTCAAGTCCGGGCTTGGTCCTCAAGCTTCCAAGGCGAAGAAATTCTCCTTCTCTACTCCAAGAATGCCCTCAAATCGCCCTCTCTCTCTTTGGTTCGTCCCTTGGGTGTTTGGGATCCAAAAACCCAGCTCTCCTCCTCTTTGGTTCGGAATTTGGCTTAAAACCAGGAAATCCCGACTCACACGGGCAGGGCCACACGGCCGTGTGGCCTACCCAGTTGCCCGTGTGAGGCAAAACGCACCGTATCACTTAGTCGAATTCCAGGCTTCTCACACGGCCAGAGTGGCACGGCCGTGTGTCACTTCCATCTGCCCGTGTTTGCTCTCGGCAAAACTCGCACGGCCAAGCCACTCCTTCACACGGCCGTGTCGATCCTCTGCTCTGCCCGTGTGTGCTCTCGGCAAAACTCGCACGGCCAGGCCATTACTTCACACGGCCGTGTGAATATCAGGGCAGCCCGTGTGACCTCCCTTGTGACTTGTCTCGCGCCCGATCTTCACCCAATCGACCCCGAGCTCGCTCCTAAACCTTCATTCACTTGCCAGAACCTGAAATATCACAAACAAGCACAACCTAGCGTGAAATCGGTCTAAAACACGAGAAACCACATCTCAAACGGTGTAAGAACAGGGGTAAAAACATGTGTCATTAACGGTCTATCAGTAACTAAGTGAATACATCATTAAATAGACAAGTTATGAATGGTTATTCACGAGTGTTACAACCAAGGTTGTTACACCTCTACCGAGAAGTTGCTTGGAGGTCCGTCCAAAATCGTGCTAAAAACGGCTCTACAAAACCAAGGGTCTGATTGTTAGAGAGGGAGAAGAAGAGAGAGGGAAGGGGGAGGGGGAGAGAGGCAAGGGGATGGTGGGTGGATCTTGAGATAGGTATTTTTTAATGGAATTTGAGTTTTTAATAGATATAAGTTAGTACATTTCATTTCAGTCACTAAATTTTTATATTATATGTAAATATATTTAGAAAATGTGTAAAGAGGCTCAAACAGGTTGGACTTTAATCAAACCATTAAACTTCAAACAACTTGCTTGACCGCTTGATAACTTTGGTTATAACCCTTAAGATTACAATGTTCGTCATTGATGGAAAGTTATAAGAATTTCGAAAATGGAAAAATAATTTCGATGTCACGTTAATGTTATAAAAAATTCAACATTTCAAATAATTTAAAAAATTTAAATACATTATATTCAAATGACGTTCCGACCAACGGTCGGACAACAAGGTAGTATACAAAGAAAACAAACTTCAATCTGGAGCCCTTCTCTGATGTGCCTCTTTTGTCCAATTTGGGCAAAGGTAGGAATCCACTAAATGGGGACTCTAGAAATTATGGGCAGAAAGATGCTCTCATCTACCAAATGTTTGGTGGAATAGAGAAAAAAATCCTCCAACTTAAATGTCCATAATGCTTAATGAAATTAGTGGCATCCAACACGTAGCTGATACATTTCCTTCTTTCTTTTTTTTTTGGGTTAATTGCATGGTTGGTCACTGAGATTACAAAAAAATGTTCATGTTTGGTCACAACAAATATTTAATTCCATTCGTGGTCACTAAATTTAATAAAACATGTCACGTTTGGTCACCCTCCGTTTGTCTCCGTTAGCCTCTGTTAACGGCGTTAATTTTTTGCTGACGTGACTAATAGAAATGCCTTATCAGCCATTTTTAACCCAATAAAAATAAAATTCGACCTGCCACGTCATTAAAATTTCCCACATCATTAAAACCAACCCATTACCCAATCTCTTCTTCTCCAATTGACCCCGCCGGCCTGAACCTTCTTCCTCTTTGTCTCCCCCGAAATTGTTCATCTTCCCCATCTTTCTTCATCTCCAAATTGGGGAAATGGCTGACTTCTCAATCACCCATGGTCCCTGTGCCATCTTCTAATTCACTCTCTCTCGAGCCTTAAGCTCACAAACAGAGAAGGGAAGGGGGGAAACTGGAAACCTGCAAAACTGATATGAACCCAAAAAATTTGAAGAGGCGACAGGTCATACAGAGTGGAGACGGAGCGGTGGCTGACCATCACCGAGTAGCTTCTTATCTTCCGGGAGCTCCAGGGTGCCAAGTCGTTTGCGGTCCGCTCCCGGGATTTGAGTAGGGATTCCGACTCTGTCCTCCTCCAATACACTTACCAAATCATCGCCGCCGCCAACATCATGCTTTCCGCCGAGCTGCAGTTCAAGGACCACAACAACGGCACCGAAACGCATGATTACTACGCCCTCCTCCAGCTCCACAGACTGAGTCAATCCATGAACCTAATCGTTACTCAGTATCCTCAACCATACCCAAGCAGATCATCCCTGCAATCAACCCAAGAGAACCCATCAACTTTTCTTCTTCTTCCGATGGCGATCCAGACAAACCCAAGCAGATCGCTAGTGCAATCAACCTAGGGGAACCCCAACATCCACCGTCTCTGCTGCAATCGACAAACCCATCCCGATATGTGTTTTTAGGGTTTCCGTTTTGGGGTTTTGATTCTTGCTGGGTTTTGTGGTTTCAATTTCTGGTTTGGGGTTCCGAGATTCCTGCGCCTGTTGGAGTCTTCCTAGACGGACCCAGGGATGAGGAGGCTCGATTTCGTGGATGACATCGTCGGTTTGGGTGACGTCTTCGAGTCAGACAATTTCGGCAGAAACGACGGTGGTTCTGGGTATTTCAGATGAAGCTTGTGCGATGGTTCAGGTAGCCTTCACGTGAAAACCCAGCTCTATCACTGTAATGCTTTTTTAGTTCGGTCGGGTTAGGTTGGGTCAAGGGTTGGGTTGGATTTATGATGTGGCGGGTTATGTTTTAGGTTTTCTGGGTTAAAATTGGGTGACTGGACATTTCTTTTAGCCAAGTCAGCAAAAAATTGACGCCGTTAACGGAGGATAACGGAGACTAAAGGAGAGTGACTAAACATGACATGCTTTAGTAAAATTAATGATCACGAATGGAATTAAATATTTGTAGTGACCAAACATGAACGATTTTTGTAATATCAGTGACCAACCATGCAATTAACTCCTTTTTTTGCATTGAAGGGAGAATGTTAGGAAAGGGAGGTCCAGTTGTAGGAGATAGGGGTGGCTATTTGGACCGGGACCGGATTAAAAACCAGAAACCGAGACCGTATAACCCGGACCGAGACCGGACCGGGACCGGATATTAAACAATCCAATCCAATCTTTGGGCTTAGATTTGAGGTAAAAAACCGGATAAAGACCGGATAAGAGAGCTCAACACCCAAAACTTAAGGGTAATTTGCCTAAACGGTCACAAACCTTTGCACTTAGTACAAAACTTAACCAACTCCTCACCCTTTAAGGCCTTAGGCCACTCAAACCCCACAATCTCAATGTAAAATCAAGACCGAATTGGGACCGGACCGGATCAGGACCGGACTGTATCCAATCCAATCTTTGGTCCTTATATTTTCAAAAAGACCGGACTGGACCGGATCAATTTGGGCCAATTTAACCGGACCGGACCGTATAGCCACCCCTAGTAGGAGAGGAGGTTCAGGCTGTAAGGTTGAGCTTGAAATGACAAAAAAAAAACCCCTAGGTCAAGATTGTAATCAATGGTATAAAATTCAATTTCCGGACATCATTGAACAACTAGAATTATTGTGATCAAGGTGATATGGGCAATAGTTTCATTGCTTTGCTGGTCACTCCTAATCGAATTGATATCAAATACTGTATGCACACACGCACGAGGATGATTTGAGGTGAATCCTCTTACGCTGATTATGTGGATTGCATGATTGACAGTCAAAGATCACGTTTTTTACCTTAATGATTGTTATTTAATTTGCTATATTCACAATCGATGAATTGCGTGAATATAACTTGTTGAGTTATATCTCGGTCATGAAAAATAGTTTTGTTGCCTTGTTGTAACTATCAACCAACTTAATATCAAGGATCGCATGCACGCCCGTAGTAGTGTGTTCAAGGTTAATCGTCTTGTTGTTTATGTGTGGATGGGATGGTAGAATTGAGGGTCAGAAATAGTGTTTTTTCTTAGAAACAGGTTTGCAAGTTGCAATTTGACCTTTTGTAATTCAATTGTCAAGTTTTTTTTGCGGCAATGTCAGTGTCGAGAATAAATCACCGTTGAAGTAAGGTTTTGGGAACGACCATGATAATGACATAATAATTAATCTATGCCGAAGTTGAGGGCTTGATGAACCCTTGACTACCTTCTTGGTATCTTCAAGCTCTGTTTGATCTTTGGTTCCAAAATTACCTTCATTTTTACGTTCAATAGGATTTGCTGTGGCGGCGTATTTGTCCTGTCCTGTCAATGTCATAGTCGCCAAACCAAAGATCAAACAGAGCTTAAGGACCTGTTTATTTATTAGGGTGATTCAGCAAATGTAAACCAAAAAAACCGTCTATCGATTATCAAGTTGTCGTGTGATTTTGTGAGTATGAAAAGATTGAATTAAGATTTAAGTATAAATATTTTATTGACTTTTTTAGTACTATTAGCCTTCTCGGGTAGATCTCGTATTTTTCTATTGCAAATCTGTATAGCTATTGTTGGAAATGAGTGAATAGTTTTAAAAGTTACAGAGTCTCAAGTTGGAAAAACTACCATATTGGTAGTTTTACTTGCTGAAATGTGTATAAAGATAGGAGCCTCTCTCCTAAGGGCATGCCCCTTGGGGTGACCCACTTTTGTGGGAGAGGGAGGACCTAACAGACCACCACACGCGCGCGCTGTCCGTCCGACCGGTTGGTTGGTTCACTTGAGACTATATATTTTTGGTGAAATTCAGAACGAAATTAATTATTAGATAATTAATTATTAATCGGTTATTCGAAGGAATATTCTAAGGATAATCGATTAAAAAGGAATATTCGAAGGATAATCCCGCTAGGAATTATCTTACAGACGGGTTCTAATTTAGGAAGTAGTTATCTTCCTTAATTAATCTAACTTATTCCCCAAGCAAGAGGGTATATTCCTAGGGGTTCGGCTCCTATAAATAGCCGCCTCCCCGGCCCCTCTAAACACACAGTAGAGAGAGTGTTCAAAGAGCTCCGGTTTTCGCACAAAACTGCCGAGCATTCGAGGAGCTGTTTTATCCTGGAGACGACCGGTTGATAGTCTTCCGTGCGCATCGAGGGCAGTGCCGCGAACGTCTTAAAGAGAGCGACCTAGTCGGCGACTCAGCTCCAGATTCGGTAACCTCGTCCCTAGTTGGTTGTTACCTCCTGGCTGCAAAGTCTTAGGTAATAAATGGGTTCTAAAAACGAAACGGAAACCTGATGGTGCAATCGAATGGTTCCGACCTCGCCTAGTAGTTAAGGGCTATAGGCAGAGAGAGAATATAGATTTCTTTGATACCTATTCACTAGTATCTAGAATAACATCCATTCGTGTCATGATTGCTCTTGCTGCATTGAACAATCTCGTGGTACACCAAATGGATGTTAAGACTGCTTTTCTGAACGGTGATCTGGATGAGGAAATCTATATGGAACAACCATAAGGGTTTGTTATCCCCGAACATGCCTCGAAAGTATGTAAGTTAGACAAATCATTATATGGATACGTTAGCATCATTGGCAGTCTCTTATGCTGCGGATTACACTCGACCAGACATTGCATATGTCGTGGGATTGCATGGCAGGTTCAACAGCTGTCCTAGTAGAGAGCATTGGAATGCTATAGAGAGGGTCATGAGATACCTCAAGAGAACAACAAACCTTGGTATACACTATCAAAGGTTTCCTGCTGTACTAGAAGGGTATAGTGATGCGGATTGGAATACCCTATCAGATGACTCCAAGGCAACCAGTGGGTATGTTTTTAACATCGCTGGTGGAGCTGTGTCTTGGAAGTTAAAGAAACAAACAATCCTAGCTCAATCAACTATGGAATTGGAGATGATAGCACTAGCAACGGCTAGTGAAGAAGCAAGTTGGTTGAGAGGATTGTTGTCGGAGATTCCCTTATGGGAAAGGCCGGTCCCTCCGGTATTGATCCATTGTGATACTACCGCAGCAATCGCTAAAGTTGAGAACCGGTTCTACAACGGAAAGAAACGACAGATTCATCGTAAGCACAGTACTGTAAGAGAACTCCTAACAATATGAGCAGTGAGGGTGGATCATATAAGATCCGAACAGAATCTAGCTGATCCTTTGACAAAAGGATTACCTAGAGAAAAAGTCCAGAATGCCGCCAAGGGTATTGGACTTATGCCTACGGAACCACAGACTACAAGTGATGGTAACCCGACCCAATAGACTGGAGACCCCAAGAAATGGGTTCAATGGGTAGTGTTTGAACCTAACTGAGTGTAGGAGTGAGATTCACGTGAAATGGGTCGAGGAGAATGAGCAACAGGAATCAGCCTGGAGCTTAAGAAGGAAGGAAAGGGAGGAAGGAGTTGAGAGAGTGACTTTTAGAGAGAGAAGTGTGTTCTTTTTCTTAGAGATAGAGTTTCCAAAATCCGATCCCCTCACCCACCGGAGTGAATGCCCTATTTATAGGCTACATGGTGGTGGGTGAGTTACATGGTGACATGACTACTGACATGTCAGAGGACTAGACCATACCTCTACCTAGGATAAGTACATTTAGCCTTTTATTATACCTAGGACTAGGACTATGATGTGACCACTCGGCGGGTGGAACGCGGCGTCGTTTTCCCACACTCGCTAATTTGGTCAACGTTGGACTCAAACGTCGTCCTTGCGTCGGTGCTGATGCGCCCGAATCACTTGGTATTGGCGCTCGTCGGTGTGCTCGCTCGCGTCGGTGCTGATGCGCCCGACGCTCTTGGTGGTGGCGTTCGTCGGTGTGCCTTTCTGGTCGCGTCGGCACTAACGCGCCCAACTCCTCTAATGTCGATGTTTCTTTGGCGCAGCGGGATCCGAGTTATATGCCCAACAGGTAGTAACAAGTCATGAGTAGTATGCGAAAAGTTCATGCATAGTGAAGCATGAATCCCAAAGCAATGGAGGTTGAGTTAATAACTCTTAATGAGATCTATACCCTATGTGGGATGGAGTTCTTTACTTTGGGGGTACTTTTGATAGACTCACATATGTGAATGTGGGAGTGGGGCTGCTCCTTATGGAACTTTGGAGGCACAAAGTTGCTAGAGCGTTCACTAAACCAGGATAACGTGCATGGCCATAAACGCACGGGCTAAGAAGAGAACACAACTCAATTAAAAGATCTGGTGTGCTTCACTGTCTGAGATAGGGTTCAAGACTACGAGTCACCCTTATGAAATCGGAAGTGTAACCATTACGCTAAGGTTCAAATCTTCATGATACCTTAGCTTATGCCCAATCTTATGGAACTATTGATGCCCAGAGATAGTTTCAAAACTATTCAAGTGGGGGATTGTTGGAAATGAGTGAATAGCTTTGAAAGCTATAGAGTCTCAAGTTGGAAAAACTATCACATTGGTAGTTTTACTTGGTGAAATGTGTATAAAGATAAGAGCCTCTCTCCTAAGGGCATGTCCCTTGGGGTGACCCACTTTTGTGGGAGAGGGGAGGACCTAACAGACCACCACACGCGCGCCGTCCGACCGACCGGTTGGTTGGTTCACTTGAGACTATATATTTTTGGAGAAATTCCGAATGAAATTAATTATTAGATAATTAATTATTAATTGGTTATTCGAAGGAATATTCTAAGGATAATTGATTAAAAAGGAATATTCGAAGGATAATCCTGCCAGGAATTATCTTACAGACGGGTTCTAATTAAGAAAGTAATTATCTTCCTTAATTAATCCAACTTATTCTCCAAGCAAGAGGGTATATTCCTAGTGGTTCGGCTCCTATAAATAGCCGCCTCCCCAGCCCCTCCAAAAACACCACAACGAGCATAAACACAATAGAGAGAGTGTTCAAAGAGCTCCGATTTTCGCACAAAACCGCCGAGCATTCGAGGAGCTATTTTATCCCGGAGACAACCGGTTTATAGTCTGTCGTGCGCATCGAGAGCAGTGCCGCAACGTCTTAAAGAGAGCAATATAGTCTGCGACTCAACTCCAAATTCGATAACCTCATCCCTGATTGTTGTTCCGTTCCTAACTGCTATTAGTGTGGAGTGTAAGCTTGTAGGACTGTATGATTTGTTGTCTTGTAGCATATGCACTTTTTCGCCTCTTGTATTTGATTAACAGGAAGATAACACAATCACCAAAAAAAATTACTAATCTTTTTCAGATGATCAAAGTATTCCAATCATATCAATTATAATTAGGTTTATAATTTGGATGTGGTGAAAATCCTACTTGTAACTCCACATTATAAGGAAGAAAAAAAAAATTCACTTACATGTATTCACCACAACACATCTATTAACAAAGTAACTTCCAAACAAACCTTTAATTGTTTTGGGTTCTAATCAGCAACTCTGGAGGCGAAAGGGCTTATTAAGATGTATGCTAATGATTAATGTAAAGAATAAAGAAAGAGAACATTGCATCATAGGTTGGAGCGAAAGGATAATTAATCATGTCATATTTAAAATATACATGTGACGAATATAAGCTAGGTGGTTTTCTTTTTAAATTGGCTAATGCTCATATTGATACGTTTTCTCCTCGAATGAGTTTCTAAATTTTTTATTTTGTCATAGACTAGCCCTCTCAAACATTTTCCAGATCGATCCATCGATGGTAGGGGTGTTCAAACGGATTGGTTACCGTGGTAACCATCTTAACCGGTAGCATTCGGTTAATTTGGTTTGGTTAATTTGAATAATTGGTTTGGTTTAGTTAAACCATTTAGCTTATTTGGTTAGGTGGTTTGGTTTGGTTTCAACACTGCTAACCAATGAAACCAATTAACCAATTAATGATACACCTAATATACAGAATTATTTATACTTCCATGCAACCAACCAAACCAAACTTTCGTGATTCGCTATTTATTTCCATGTGCACAACAAACCAAAACATTATGGTTCAAAAATTAAATGAGCATGCCTATTTACTAAACCAAAACATTTTGGACAACTACTAAACATTAGGATTACGTACAATACCATGACAACCACCTCTAACTATGTATAGTCTAAGTGTTTTGTTGGAGAGCTTTAACTTCATGATTAGTGCTATTGGTAGGTATTTATGTTAAGGGATTTGTGGTAAGCTAACAATATTAGGTGCAGAGATGATGAATGATGTATTAACTCAAATGATGATGATAATCATAGATGGTTAGTCTTATTATTATTTCTTATATAATGATATTTTATGATAGTAACAACATATGGTTATGTTTTATTCATTAACATGAAAATTATTTTCATGTAATGTTATGTTATTTGGTTATCCGATTATCCGGTTAACCAAACCAATTAAACTTTATTTTGGTTAATTTGGTTTTCGTGTTAATTTGGACGGTTTGGTTAAGACATTTTATGAAACACCCTAACCCGGCCGGGTACTACTTTTACTAAAATGCCCTTGATAAATAAAATGCTCAAATCTTAATTTGCAGAGGAAAAACTTTCATAAATAAAATACTGAAAACACATACTTGTAGCTCGGAGCAAAGCCCTAACACGTGGGCAAATTAAACTCAAACTTTAAAATCTCAATCTGATCTCCAATCTATACTCATAATCATAAATGTAAATAACTAATAGTCTCTAATGTTGTTACTACTGAAACCTGGACTAAGCATCCTCTGTGACGCTTATACTGCCCTCCTCTAGTTGCATGCCTTCGAATTCGCTGCTCACTACATGCTCCTCTAGCTCTTCTCTTCCTCTAGCTCTTCAACTGGTGAGTGAGATGGGGTCAGTCTACGCCCTTACGTTTTTAACTTTCTAATAATTTTGCACTTCTTCTCAAACACTTAAACTCAAAATGAGGGAAGTTGTTTGTACTTCCATTCTTAAAAATCTTAACTCTTAAAACTGTATGGGAGTAACTGTTACTCTCCATTCTTAAAACTCAAATCTCAACTTAAATACTTGACTGACACTGGGATCCCTCACTAGCTAGTCCGGTTGCCAACTCATACGTATGAGAAGCCATTCAGGCTTTCCTTAATCTAAAACTTAAACTTAGTTAGGGAAGTCGTAACGATTCATCCCCCTAACATCTTAAACTTAACGTGGTGGCTCTTCAACACGGTTCTTAAGAGCATAATTGCTGCTCAACTTAAAAGTCTCAAGAGCATAACTGCTGCTCTGTCTGAAAATCTCAAATGGCAACGGACCGGCACTAGTGACTAAAAACACTTAAAACGACTTCACCTTCTTGAAGGTGAGTTATTTCTTAAAACAAACTTGTTTCTTAACTTTAACAATAACTTATAAACTTAAAGCTTTAATTCAAATAAGAACTCATGCACATTCACATCAAGCATGACTCAAACAAAGTCACATATCATCAACCATAAGCACAATCAACAACGACATGCACTTCATCAAAAATACCCAAGACTTGTAATTCTTGAAAGAACACGTAAGGCGTAGAATTTACCTCCTTTACACTCACCTCTAATCCATCGAAACCAACTCTGAATCTGCTCTAAAATTTCCATACTTGCTCCAATTAAATTCTCCTCACTCTCACGATTCCATAGGTGCTGACGATTCCTTGTTCGGACGTCAATTGATCGAGTTATGATCAAAATAAATATTCTGTCAGCTTAAAAGTTCTAGGTACCGAAATTGAAATTTTTCCAGTCAACATAGTTGACCACGACCCTGATATAAAAATACCCAAATGATCCACAAACTTTTCGAATTGTCTGTAGTGGTACCTGAATTTAACAGATTTTCATCCAAACTTTCGATGCTCGTTTCTCCCTCGTCCGATGTCAGAATCTGATTTCGTCGACACGGTGATGCTCCTGGGATTGCCTCTACGAGATGATACCCACCACTTGGCGAATGGTTGAAGTCGGCTAATCCGCGGCCGTCGACGGAGCTCTAAAACGTCGGAGGATACGTCGTCGCATCGAGCTTTGCCGTCTTCATCTCAACAATCGGTTCATGGAATCTTTGACGATGGTTCCACCACCATCATCCCTAACTTTTACCGCCCAGGGAGGGTTCGAGATAGAGATAAAGACCACAACGTGAGGCAGAAGGATTCTAGTGGTTGACGTCGTACATGGTGATCGCCTTCTTTCTTGATCGTTCATGGTTGAGGGAATCGAAGAAGAATTTGGACGCCCGCGCGCGGAGGGAAGAGGTAGCTGTGGCCTGTGGTGGGTTCTAATTTTCCCCCTCCGCTACACGTATCTGAAAGGAATGGAAAGAGGCGTGGGCAACTGTTGGGGCGGTGATACCTCTAGGTTTAGTTTTATGTTTAAATATATATATTAATTAGTAATAATAATATAATAAATTATTATTATTATTTCATGGTTGCAACCCTTCGTACGTAACCGTTAACCCAACTGTTCCCGTATTTTGGTCGAACCTGAACCCAAAGTCGGGGTGTTATATTTCCTCCACCCTTATAAAAAATTTCGTCCCCGAAATTTGCTTGAATCTCATTCCTCTGTCAACACCATTTTGTACTTCCTTGCCCCAAAAATTACTCTCTCTATATGAACCTTGATGATGTCCGTTGCTTGTCCCGTATAGTTTACTTCACCTCAAGTTATTTCCTCTTGACCATAAAAGGTATTCTCAACAAGCTCATTAGCATCGAGTAGCTTTGAGTGGCTACTTGCCCTTTTCAAAATTTTCCAACTTGGGTCCCGTACTTCATGTTGAACCTATCGAAGTCGAGGTATCACATTCCCTCCCCACTTTCAGAAATTTCTCCCTCGAAATTGTCCTTTGTGATTACCCTAAGCATCGCTTGTGGTAATCCTTTTCACTTCGAGGATTTTTATTCCCTTTAACTTATACGACATGACCTACAATCCTTCTCTCCATTCCCTGCAACTTCAATGTTGTTGTGGCTTCTTAACCCCTCACATTACCTCGGCTGCACCTTGTACATATATAGGAACGATAACTATCCATTGTTCGGTACATGAGAAGTTAATGCCCCTCTCCAACCCCATGGTCACTGATGGCGGCTTATCCTCCCTCTAGTAAGATGGTAAAACTCTTTTAACATAACTCTCATCTGGGGTTGACCTCATAGGGGACCTAGGACGTTGTACCTCCTGACTTTGTATCTCTTACTTTCTTCTTTGATGCTTCATCTTATCCTTTAATCATAAACTGAATGGTCATCTCTTTGTTACTTCTTGCTTAACGTCGAAAACCTCATAATGATGCTTCTACTTTCTGTATGCATTAAAAGCATCCTTTGCATCTTTCTCTAGATTGCAATCAACTTAATGACTTCTTTCGTGAATCGTGACCTTCCATTTTGCATACTTGATCACTCCCGGCGCCTAACTTAGCACTTCTTTATCGGCACTTGAATTTGATGTTATCGTACTATCCATTCTGCTACTCTTAGACCCTAGTTGAAATTCCTCGTACCGTTTCCCCCATCCAATATAGTCTTACCCGAGAGATTGACACCTTTCACCAGCATAGGCACATCTTGATTTCACTTTGGGGGTATTCTAGCAGGTTCCCTAAACTTTTATCCCTCTTACTTCGTTACTCGTGACTCTTCTTCTTGATGTTCCTTTCTAGGTTTAAGTGTCCCTTGTTCGCGACGTAGTCCTCCAGGTTCCTATATCCTCCTCTCGCTTATGTACTTTGGCCTATAAGGTTTTCCCTTCCACTGTTCTTGCAACCTTGAGTCCACCCTAAGGTTGACCAAAACTTCGCAATGGACTTCCCGGGGATCCACTTTTTTCCTCTGGTAGTCAACCTAATACCCTTCCTAACTATTTCCCTCCATGTACACCCTTTGACTCGAGTCACTTACACATTTTCCCGATCCTTTATCAGGAACTTTCATGTCCTTCCTCGACTTCAAACTCTCTACGATATGACAGATGCCACTTCACATTTATGGCCTTAGAGACGGCTAACCAAAGTCCAGTACTACCGCCAGATTGCTTACCAATTTACTAATTGACTTCTTCACCAATTGACTTCTTGAAATCTCGTCAAACTTCCTCTGGCCTTTTTGCTTTTTCCTTGTATTATACGCCAATCTTTCTTTATCACGACCGTTGAGATTCCTCCTCAACTTCCATAAAATTTATTAGAACTTTCAATGAATGTTCTACTTGTTTGTCTATACTCCGTTGGTTGAATGACTTACTCCTATAGCTAGTTTCGAGACTCTAGCTCTTAGGCTGCTAGTTCCAACTTACAAATAGAGGTTCCTCCTTATGTCACCGCTCATGTAACCTAGGCGGCTAGGTGCTCCCTCCATTTAGGAGAGGAAAATCCCATAACAGATCATCGTGAACTTTTGCATACCCCCTTCCAACGGTCCCAACATCCTCCTGACCTTTTGTGATCTGGGTAGTTTGTAGGGTCTCTACTATCCTCCTTCTAACTCGGTGTTATCTTGGTATCCAACTCAAGCACTTCTGAGAAGTGGTTCTCTATTCGTACTGCCATCTACTAGCTAACTGTTATTCTCTCTCACATTCCATGTCTTTTCTTAGGTATTGACTCCCCACTGTCTTCTACCAGGCATGCTTTAGACTTTGGTGGCACTTTCCTCCACGTCTCGTCCAATGGTGGTCGTACTGAGACCATAACTTGTCCTCTACATCATTTATCTCCTTGCTTGTCTTGTTCCTTCTAAAGGGTTTCCATCGGCCCAACTTCCCATGGTCATGTTGACTCTGGTCTTGTTCCTTTCAAAAGCTTGATACCGGTCTAATTCCCCAGGGTCATGTACCCTCTTCTAGATGACGTAGTTTATCTACAAGGGTTCCTTCATCATCATATGTAAATGACCAATTGACCATGCCTCCCCTCCTCCTTAATCAATTGGCTTCTTGACGTCTTTTCAGACCCCCTCTAACCCCCTCTAACCTACTTACTTCCTCATTTACTTCATTTACACTACCCTAGCTTCTCTTGAAGTCTAAGCTTTTCACTGCTCCTTGTCACTATGTTGTAATAGCGTTGACCACTAAAACTAGTTGAGGGACTTCTCGTGGTACTTCTTCGTTTCTTGGCTCGCCACTGCTTAGGGTCAAGGACCCTGAAATTCCCTCATCGTTATAGCTACTGACATCTAGGAATTGTAGCTCTTTCTTTGGAGATTCATATTTCTCCCCCTTGTTTGTCTTAGCTTATTAGATCATCCTCTTGTTTCCTAGTAGTAAAATCCTCGTACTACTCTCTCAACTCCTTCAAAATCCTTGAGGTATTCCCTTTCAATTGGCACCTCTTTGCTGGTGTTTGGATTTGAAGTCCTCGCACATTTGATTCTACCTCCACAGACCTTTGCAACGTTCCTCCTTCCTTCTCTAGGTTGATGATGATGATCTGTTTGCTAACGTCTGAGTAGTTGGTTAACTAGTTGAAAAACTACTATCCATCATGTCGATGAGATACTTGGTCTTGAGAGCCTTTGAGATTCTAGTTGGGGACACGTTACGGTGATTACTATTTTATAGTAATCGCCGTGGTTACTAAGGGCAAATTGGGTATGACAAAAAATTATTAATTCCTTTTTTTAACAAATTACATTTTAGGAAATTACAAAATATATTAATTACAATTATCTCTCTTTCTCTCACTTCCACAGTCTCCAGCCAGATCTGTTTTCCTTTTTTCCAATCTTTTCCTTGTTTTCATTCAGCCGAACTAATACCGCTGCAAAAATAAAACAATACCAATCCATTAAAAGAACACTACCAATGCATAAAACACCATTATCATTCGAGAAATAAAAACACTACCATTTCACAAAACACCAATACCATTGCAGGTTTATCAATATCAATGCATGCAAATCAATACCAAGTGCGTCGATTGTCGTTGGATATGAGGTGCATAGATGCCCAAAATTCTATTCATTTTCATTTTTCTTGGTTTGAATAGTTTGGAGTAGGACTAAAAATTATCCCGTCGGGTAGAGTTTTAATCTAGCTTGCGTTCAGCTCCTTGATAAACAAGCCGATCTCGACTCGTTTACTAAAAGTTTAGCTTGTGATTCACTCGACCTCGACTCATTAATTAGTACATTCACGAGATTGTCTGGATCTCAAGATCATATTATTTAGTTCATAATATTTAACTGTTCATATCATGTTATTTAATAGTTATTAGTATCCGAAAAATCTATGAAACACAATTCCTCTTTTAAATTATAAAGGAGAAATATTGCTCGTTTACTCAAACTCTTAAGCTCGTTCATATGTGGTGAGATATATGATATAACAAACTAACTCGTAAGCTATAAATTGATTCGCTTCTGAGTCGTTAGGCATGGTGGCTTACTAGCCAAATTGTCGACTCAGATCATAGCTCAAAACGAGTTAGCTCACGAGTTGAATTCAATAAGCCACTAAATCAAATTTAGACACGAGCTTTGCAAGCTGAACAAGACTTAACTCAAATTCTAACTCATTAGCAAAAACTTTGAAATGTATTAGTTTTAAGCTTGGAAAATGTCTTGCATATAATAACTTAGGAATTCTTTTTTTATCCCTAATTAGTGAAGAATACGCAGTGATTGGAAGACAGCTGGTTGCAGTTTCTACATTGCTGCAAAGTGCAAACAGGATTTATATACGTATTCTTCAACTAGTCTGAGTCTGTCTATGAGGTGACTCAAAGCTAGCAGAGGATTACTTCAAGTAGGTCAATTCAATTGTTACAGATAAGGCTTCTCTTATTCGCTTTAATTTGTAAGTGCTAGTAAAATGGGATTGAAGTTTATACATAAAAAGAGATTGATAGGATATTTTATGTGAAAAGATGGTTCAACGGTTTTATATCGATCGCTTATCGATTTGAACTTCGATAAGTGATTTATTCTGATAGGACGGTCAATACAATTTCGCAAACATTGTTAATTTGTGAACGACCCACACAAATCAAATATTTATTTGTGAGTAAAAAAAAAGTGTATTATTGGTTGGTTGCAACTTGCAACAATTTATAAATTTGATGCTCACACAAATATTTGTAATTTTCAAAAATATTATCACATCATTCATTTGTCACAGTTATACAAACAATTTGTAGATTGCACAATGAGTAAAAAATAATATAGCACAAATTGCACAATGATAGCTGCGAAATGAAAAATAGGGAAATGTGGATTAGAATCCCAAAAAACTGACAGCTGCCACCATCTAACTTTCAGCCAGCAGGCTTCACGCTAACACAAACAAACTGCCCTTTACATCCTAATGCCCCCATGCACTTATATAAAATACACCAACTCCA